ATATAAACAGGTCTTGGATGAAATAGGACATGCAAAATTTTTAATGCATTGCTGGATCCATGACATCAAAATTATTATTCTTAAGTCTACATTTCTGGGAATTCCTTTTTTTTTTAAGTAAGCTCCATGCCCAGCATGGAGATCCAGACCTGAGATCAAGACCCGAGCTGAGATCAAGAGTCAGACACTCAACCAGCTGAGCCATCCAGTCACCTCTCTATCCGGGAATTTTTAAAACACTGGCTTGAGTAAGCTATGGTGTAAAGAGGAAAAAATGAGGACAAGGATGGCACTGGGTATCCATGAGATGTAGACCAAGTCAGAGGGAGAAATGAGTGACACAGAAGGCTTCCACTGGACATATGAAAATAAAGAAATAATGGCATCTATCACATCAGGAAGTTAGGTGATATATCCCAGAATGAAGGGAAGAAGTTAGGCAACTGATAAAACCAAAAACAATAAATTAGCAATAATCGAACACATTGGTAAAGTTCTATTCCTGAACCAGAGAACGTCCTTCCTTCAGTAGAAGGTAGAGTCGGACAACTCCCAAGCTGTTTACTAGGCACAGAGGCTCACACACTGCCCCTTCCAGGAAAGCAGGAGCAACTTAAGTCTAGGTTTATGTTTGTGCTTTTACGGCATTTGGTAAAAAGCTATGGCTCTAGGCTCAATGCCTAGGATACTGGTACCCAGATGACAAAAAATACAACCCCAACTACAGCTGACCCTTGAACAACACAGTGTGAATTGCACAGGTCCACTCAGACACAGACTTTTTCGATAAATATAGCACAATCTTGTCAATGTCTCTTCTCTTCCTATGATTTTCTTAATCACACTTTATTTTCTGTAGCTTATTTTTATTATAGGAACACAGAATATAATACACAGAACATACAAAATATTAATTGACTATATTATTGGTCAGGCTTCTGGTCAACAGCAGGCTCCCAGGAACTAAGTTTTGCCGGGGGGCGGGGGTGGAGTCAAAAATTATATGTGGATTTTTGAGTGCATAGAGGCTGGGCACACCTAGCCTTGTGCTGTTCAAGGGTCAAGTGTAATTTCTCCACATAAATGACAATTTAAACCCAAACCCTGCCTGCAAAACCATGGGTGTCATATAGTTATTCCTGAACTTTCCTCAAGCAGAGTGCATACATAGGTTTTGTTGTCTCAGCAAACCTGGGTGCAGACAAGGTCATGTTAGCGTCATCACTCAGTAGATGAGGCTCAGAAAGACAGACCCGAAGACTTAATGATGGTGCCCAGCGCAAGACTGCACACTTCCCAATACTCACATCCAATGGGACATGGGATGTCCTCCCTGACCTGTAGACCAATCCAAGAAGCTTCCCCCATCTCAGCTCCCAACCTGTCCCACCTTGGAGGGAGCCCAGTGCAGCTTGTATGGTTGAATTTCCAAACAGCCAAGATGAGAGGTGCCCATGCCACCTGTTCATGATACAGAAACCTTCAACATCCAGTTGGCATCCAGACAGTGCTTGTGTCCTATGCAGACCAGCCTTTGCTGAACTCACTCTTTCTTGTTAAAAGTCTCTGCTACCCTATATAGTGAAATCTCCAGATTCCAGGAATTAGAACCTAATATCCATGGAGGCCATTATCAGTCCATCACAGACCTCCAGCTCCTTTGGGACAAGAGGTGGGTCCCACTCAACTTGAGCGAGCTTGTGTTTCTTCAGAGCCGGGCTTGGTAGAAATGAATGAATGAATGAGTGAATGAATGAATAGATGAATGAATGAAGTGGTCCCTCCCACTGCTGAACTGAAACAAAACTCACTGTTGCCACAGTGAAGGAACAAAAGAACAACTTTACCGAGAAGAGAAATGCGTGCATCCTGAGTCCAACTACTGAATCAAGTCTTGCTCGTGGACGGAAAATCGTCACCCTGGTGTGGGCTCAGAGACCCTCGCGGATCCCCTAACATGAGTGACAGGCTCCAACCCAGAATCCCCAGTGCCTGCCAAGTCACAGAATCAGCTTTACTCACCCAGAGATCCACACGAATTCTCCAGCTGCTGGGAGGTGTCTCCGAGCACCGAGGCATTTGACGATCACGGGTCGAGGGCGTCTGCTAACTTCTCCAGAACCATGTTTAACCATGTGTTGTTGTTATTTTCCTTCTCTTTCTCTCTCCCAGGGAGGAAGAACAACATAAGGGCTGTCATATAACAGATAAGAACAATCTGAGGCCAGGGTCCTACAAAGTTCAAATTGCTGTTGGATTGCATCTTCTCAGCTCGAGGATTGCGGCATCTGTCAGACCCTGGCGTGCTTGTTTTCTCAGTGATGGAGGATATCGGCTTGGACAGCAGTCATCCTACCACACCGTCTTGAGGCTCTATTTGGAAAATACCTTTGTGATAATGATGACCGTCGCTGGCACTTGTGTCCGACAGCCTCAAGCTGTAGTATGGTCTTTGATGACCCATCAATGCTCCAAGGTTGGCATCTTCCAGAATTCGAGATGCTGCTTTTTGGCGCTGAGTCCTGGCTGTTCAAAAAATCAGATGAAGAACATCTTGATCATGATTCTAGGTCTAAAAGACCTTAATCTGGGCTTCAGGGCTTTAGTAGAACATCTGAGCAGTCTGAGGACATGCCAGCACTTAGGGATAGAAGATGCAGTCCGAGTACATCTGGTTCAGGTTGGGTCTTGAACTTGGTTGAACAAGAGGATGGCTTGAGCTCTACAGAGAAGCTGATGTCCAGAAGAATGAAGCCTGGAATTCTACTGAAGGTAGGGATGAGCAGTGATCATTTTCAGACACTCCCCCAGTGGGCCAGCAAAACCCATCAGCCTAGCTGGACTTTGGGGGAGACTGTCAGCATCTTTGTTGAGAAGATTTGTTTAAGGTTGACCACCTTGGCCAAGAAAAGACAGAGAACTCTGTCACTGAAAGAGAATCCATCATGGGCACTCTCAAATACCCCAAACCAGAGCAATGACATTCCTTTGTATTTTGTTAAGTTCCCATGAAGTCATGCTCCATTCCAGGACAGCAGATTCCTAAACTGCTTCATGGTGCCACTGCACCCATCCTGGAACAATGAAGAGGCAATCCTATAAAGCATCTGTCCCTGTGTCCCGTGTGAGCCCCACACTAGAAGAGCTGCTGGCTGGGATTCCAAAGCACGCATGTGCCCAGAGTCGACATCAGATTTGGGTGTTTGGTGAAATTCTGTTAACTGAACGAATAGATGATCGGATGACCAGTAGTCAGTGTTCTAGAAGTTCAGAGTGCAGTCCAGCAGCACACAGGCAGTGGTGTCCTTTCCACTGCATTTTCAAGTGGCTAGTCTGTCCATGTTGGAGTCTGTGAACATCCTTAGAGAGAGGACTGAGCCTTCCTTGCCTGACTGGTAGCTGAGTAAGGGTGAACCCTGAAGTCAAGGATGGTGCCCGTAAACTTCAGGAGATGATAGAACCACAGGGATCTGCATGAGTTTCCTGTAACACATTCTTATCAACCTGTTGGTGGCTTAAAAACCACAGAAATTCATCCTCCCACAACTCTGAAGACCAGAAGTCTGAGATCCAGGCAGGGCAGGGCTGATGAGATCCTGGTGGGGCAGAGCTGTGCTCCCTCCAGAGGCTCCAGAGAAAGGTCTTCTTGCCTCTTCTGGGGGCTCTAGGTGTCCTTGGGTTTGTGGCCACGTCCTTCCTGTCTCTGTCTCCATGGTCACATGACCTCTTCCTATTCTTAATCAAATCTCTCTCTACTATCTCTGATAGGAAATTTGTGATTACACTGATTATACCTAGATAAGCCAGGATGATCTCCTTATCCTAAGATCTTGATTCCATCGTAAAGATGATCTCTTCAAGTAGAATCACATTTCTAGGTTCTGGGGGGTGAGCGCATGGAGGTATCTTTTGGAGGGGATCATAATTCCACCCCTAGAGAGACCAGCTGGATACAATCCCAAAGACCCTCCATCTCTGTCCGACGGTCAGTGCATGGATCACTGTTGATTCTCCTGGTAGACAAGCTGCCTGTGCCTACAGATAAGGGAAGAACCAGAAGAAGATGTCCAGCTCAAATGGGGTCTGATGAGTTGTGATCAACACCCACGACTGGGCATCAGATATGCTTGTGGCTACTTCAGTATCATGGTTTAAGCATAAACCAGGCCCTGCAGAAGCCTCTAGGAAGGATTTCAAGAGAAGTGTAAACGGACATTCTGAATGAGAAACAACCCAGGAGAGGTTCACGGGTGGCAATGTGATGGCGAGTGAGGGGGAAACCAAGGCCGCTTCCTTTACCTGTTGCCCAAAACAAATAGTGAGCAAAGTCGTGAATGCCCTTCCCTGTCCCACAAGATGTTGCACTGAGTGATTACAGACTCCTCCCCTCATTCCTGTCCTGTAGAACCCACGGGGATTGCCATCTAGACCATCCCTCCTCCTTGTCCTACAGAACCCCATGGGGAGTGCCACCTAGAACCCTGTCTTGTGTCTGTCCTACAGAACTCCATGGGGAGTGCTGTCCAGACCCCTCTCCTCATCCCTGCCCTATAGAAACCGATGGTGAGTGCTGATCAGACCCCCCTCCTCATTCCCATCCTACAGAGCCCCATGGTGAGGGCCATCCAGATCCCTCTCATCCTGCCCTAGAGAACCATATAGGTTCTATACATGACTCATGGGTTTGAGATCATGACAGTAGCTCTGAGGGCTACAGGTGGTACCTGGGACCAGGTTACTCTCAAAGCATGGAGTAGAATATGGGTTTTTACCTGAGTCTTAACCCAAAGGACTGGGGAAGGCTCATGTCTCTGTTTCACGGACCCATGAGTCAAAGCTGGGTGTCTGGAATGATGGGCGAGGGGAAGAACAAATGACAGAGGGGACCCCAAGCCCTCTATAGCCTAGTGGTTCTGCTCCCTTGAAAGTGCCTACCTGACCTGGAATGTGTATCCCAAATCTGGTCCCTGCCCTGCGTGAAACAAGGAAGACTGCACAGCGGGATTAGGCAGCATTTAATTGTTTATGGCACTTGTAGAAATTTGGCACATGATTTATGGCTTGGGACCACCTCCTTGGGAATGACATTCAATGTTCCTTTTGGTCCTTGACTTCCTCCCAAGGCAGGAGAGCAGACAGGAGACCTCTGGGGACATAGTCCTGAAGGCAGGCAGCTATGAACAATGCAGACACGGGGATCTGTCACAGACCTGTGTTTGCTGGACTAAAGGTAAGGTCTTCCCCGACATGGCAGCTACCCCAAGAAGGTGTCCTGGGTCACGTCAGTAAAGCCGGTCATCTGGCAACTCCTGGCCCACAGTTCTCTTTGAAGATCTAGGTCATATGTGACCGCGAGAGACTTGGTCTCTTTCTCATTGTAAAGGTAGCGGCCGCCTATTCCTTCCAGGTCTGGGGTGACTGCCGCGTAGACGGATGTCCAGGCTCCTTCATCTGGGGTCTGTGGGGAGAAGGAAGAAGGCCAGGACACGTTAGCCTTCAGGGCAGAGTGCATGGGATTTTCAGAACCCCCACAGATGTAGCTGGGTAAGACACAGCTGATGTGTCTTTCCTTAAGATCGCCTGGGTCGGGATACTCAAGCGGAAAGCCACGTGTACAACCTAGCCGAGCTGATGGGTTAATCCATTTCCACAGACAAAAATGCGTATTAAAATCCGTGATGTGGACAGTTCAGTTTTGCAGCTCCTGGTGAACCCAGAATGCATATGCACTGGTCAAAGCAGATGAACGCTGAGCCTCTGTGTTTAAGTAACACTAGGTGGCAAGCGGGTAAAACGTGACCACCTTGGAGAAAGGCTCTTTCGGTGAGCTTCCCACGGGGACGGAAGCGTTCCTGGGCTATGATCACTGCTCATGGGGAAAGCAAAGTCCCAAGTAGAAGCTTAAAATGCAGAGGACACGTGAGGTTTGGAGATCTGGCTCTAGCGGAAGGCGGCAACGTGGGAACATGACACACCCTCCATGCTGGGGTGGGAGTCGGCGTGGTCAAGGGTTGGCACGGTCAGTGGGTGCCAGTGAGCCAGGAGGAGCTCAAGAGATTGGAAATGACGGGAACCAAAGCCCCTCCATCTGCGGCTACGATTCCAGATCTGGAAGCCAACAGAGTCTCCCCCTTGCTTCTTACCATCTAGATAAAGACTTTTTCAGGAGCTTGTCTTGTTTCATCAATTTGTGGAAATTGGCTCAATCCTCCAGAGATTCTTACCGGACTGTGTAAGTCTATACAGTTGACCCCTGACCAACCCAGGTTTGAACTGCACGGATGTTTTCGATAAACGTACCACAGTCCCGTAAACGTGTCTTCTCTTCTTTAGGATTTTCTTAACCACATTTTCTGTCCCTCGCTTCCTCTACTGCGAGAGTCTGGTGTATAACTCATGCAATGTACAAAATACAGGTGAATCTGCAGTTTAGGGCATCGCTAAGGCTTCTGGGCCATCGTAGGCTATTAGCAGAGAAGCTTCGGGAAGTCAGAAGGGATACCTGGATTTTCAGCTGCATGGCGCCATGCACGCATGAGCTTATGCGTAGACACGCGTGCTGACATGCCCACACCCACGTTTACACCTAGATGTCCTCACAGTCTCCCACGCTGGCCCTGGGCACCCAGCTCTGCTGACATCCAAGGGGGCCGAAAAAAGGAGCTATTTCGTGGCTATAATGCGTCTCGTGGAGAATTAATCACATCCACTTACCCAACTATCACAGGCTTAAATACATGATAGATGCTGGGCTTGGAAAAGCAACCGCGGATCGTTTGTAGAACATTTTCAAAGCCTTGGGCTTATAATGAAGACGGAAATGAGATTTCATTTGTATGCTTTAATTCCTAAATGTTTTGACAGCTCACGAAATAGATGGTTTTATTCATTTATTTCTCATTACGTTGCATATCACATCCTAATCATTACCCATCAGAGCAATTATTGGTCCTGCCTGTGTAAAAGGGAGTGGGTCATGATAAATGTTGAGATGCATGTGTGTGTATAAACATGCACACGGACACACGGTCCCGTCCATGTGCATGCACACGTGCTCACACTCACCCACATGCACGCACACAGTCACACACATTTGCACACACACAACTTCGACCTTTGGGGATTTATCTGCATCATATGGAGTGGGAGGAGACACACAAGTTTCTCAGGACCCGGGTTTAAATTTCGATGTCACCGCCTGTGAACTGTGAGATCATTGCTGTATCATCCTCCCTCCTAAGACTATTTCCTCTCGTGGAAAATGACAATTACAGAAAAAGTTTTCCCACAAAATTGTCAGGGAGAAATGCAGGACATCATACGAGTGAAAAGCTCTGGCCAGTAGAAACCCAACTGCAAATGATCAACAGTAACCATGACCGGGGTGACCATACTATGTGCTGGGCACTGTACCAAACACTAAAACCCATTTTACAGATGAGGACCCAAGGCTCAGAGAAGACTAGTCTTTCCCCCACGGCACACAGGTGGCGGGGGGAGTAGCTAGGGTTCGAACCCAGGGCCACCAGCTCCCCAGTCAACATTCTCACCCATAGCACGTGCTGACTTCTCCAAGAAATGAGTCCAGAGGTTGGGAAATGCAGGCGGGAGAGTGGATTTGGGGAGACTTCTGAGTCCCAGTGAGCTCTTACAACAGGCCATGTCTCATGCAGGGAGAGAGCCACCAGACTGGTCCTGCAGAGGGGAGAACGTCCATGGGGCACAGCTCCTGCCTCTGTGTGGGCAGCAGACGTCTGCTGAACCGGAAGGCTGAACATCAAGCAGAATGCCTGAAATGGGCTGGACCATGTCCCCGCAAATGCATATGTTGAAGTCCTCACCCCCAGGACCTCAGAATGGGGCTTTATTTGGAAGTGGGGGTCTTTAAAGAGGGGATTAAGGTCAAGTGAGGTTGTTAGTGGGGACCCTGATCCAAAAGGGTTTGGGTCCTTATAAGAAGAGATGAGGACACAGACACGCACAGAGGGACGACCATGCGGGGACCCAGGGAGGACACAAGGTCTACACGTCAAGGGGAGAAGCCTCAGGAGGAACCAGTCTTGGCCCTGTCTGGATCTCAGACACCCAGCCTCTGGGTCTGAAAGACAATGAATGTCTGTGGTTGAAGCCACCCCATCTGTGGTACATTGTCTCGACAGCCCGGGAAGACTAATTCAATGTCCAAATGATTTCTCCTCTCCAACCGGGAACGTTAGCCTGTGGAGGGCGGCAGTGACAGGTGGCTCTGGCAGTTGTGTGCCCATCCCAGGAACGAGCTGTGTGTGCCCACCTTTCCCAGGGGAACAGGTGTTTACGACTCTACTCGTCTCCTGCACTCAGAGTCATGGAAGGGACATGCTCAGATTCTTCAAGATAGACCTAAGACCAGCAAAGACCCCAACAGGCAGGAGATGCTTCTCCAGAGAATACATATGTCTTGTGATGGCCTGAATGTACGTGTCCTGCCTTCCCCCAGTTCATATGTGGAAGCCCTATTCCTCAATGGGATGGTATTAGCAGGTGGAGCCATTGGGAGGTGATTAGGTTTACATGAGGTCTTGAGGGTGGGAGCCCTGACAATGGGACTGGTGTCCTTATAAGAAGAATTGGAGACCCCAGAGCTCTCCCTCTGTCCATCACGTGAGGACACAGGCAGATGGCCATGCGTGTCCAGTAGAGAGATCTCCCTCTGTCCATCATGTGAGGACACAGGCAGATGGCCATGCGTGTCCAGCAGAGAGCTCTCCCTCTGTCCATGATGTGAGGACATAGGAAGCCTCCAACCTATGAGTAACAAGTACCTGTTTCCAAGCCTCCCCAGTCTGTGGGACTCCGTTAACACCGCCCAAGCTGAGCAATATGTGTCCCAACACCAAGATCTATATTTGAATGACGCTGTGTTCTAGGTTATGAAAAAAAATACACAAAGAAGCAACAACTGCTTATCTTCTCCTGAATCTCTCTGAGCTAGAACCCTGCACACCACAGTCACAGTAGAGGTGAAGTCACCTTCAGTGGGAACATGAGAAACACGTGCACCATGCCCTGGCTTTTTCTATTCCTTCCCTCTTCGCTCACTTTTCCTTTGTTTCTATTTGCTTTGTGTTCTTGTTATAGACGTTTTGCACCTGTGGCTCATGGTGCAGTGATCCACCACTGGCTGGGCACCAGCTCATTGGCTGGATGTCCCCAGGGAGCCACCACACATACACGCCGACAAGGAAAACCATGTGAGTTGACTGCGAACGGGACCAGCACAAAGCCCTGCTGCTCTTGAAGATCGTTTTCACTGTGGTGCTCCTTTGCTAACTCGGGGCTTCATGTACGGGGTGCCATGTTGGGAAAAGGCAAGATCAAAAGGCTTCCTCTTCTATGACCTCTCCAGTCTGTCCTTGCATGGTGAACACGTAGATGATATCTCATGACTAATAACCTCAAGCTTGGGGTTGTTCACTCCCAGCAAAGAGCGTTACTAATCCTTTCTTCTTTCCCGGGATCACTGTTTGGGTCATTTGGTGCTGGAACTCACGTCCTACAGAAGCTCAGCACAGCCCACGACCTGCTGAGAGCTCCGGGCTCATGCAACTCCAACATGCTAATGATCGCCAACCATAACAGGTCAATGAGGCAGAACCTCTTGCTTAATTTGCCAAGGACGATCAATAGGAACATAGTTGATGAAACTCAACGCTGCTCTTCAACAAGAAAATGGACATTTTGTGCTGGTTTCTATGACCATGCTCCTCTCTTGGAATTTTCTAAGCTGAGCATGGAATTCCACAACTTATTCACTGTTCCTTTTTCTTTCGCTTTGTTTCATTCGTCTGCAGGGATTGTCTCCTCTAGGAAAGTACCTGGGATCCAGGTTCTCAGCTGTGTTTAAAAAGTCTGGGAATTCAGGTCTATGATGATGAGCATCATGGCGGCAAATTGGTAACTACCTAATTAAGGCAAATACACAGAAAGACCCAAATCAGCTGTTCTCTCGCTCTGGCCTCAAGGAAAACCAAGGGCAGATGATCTCAATCAAATGGAAAATCTATAGATCTATTGAACTCCCCAGCAAAATTTGGTATCTGCCCCTGTGTCATTGGAGCTGAGAAGAGCTGTATTCAAGCTCATTCCCAGGAGGATGAAGTGTGTTTCTCGGGTACCGAGTGCACAGAAATCAGTCGGCTTCTGCACAGATAAGAAGATCCTGGAAACAACGGTTCCCCTGGCATAAATAACATATCCCATTTTATCTACAGCTTGTAAAAAATGAAACAAAACAATGAAATAAAGATCATCCTTAAAGACTTGTAGAAAGTGAAAGCAAACCCAAGAGTGGACATGTTGCTTTTATCAGAGGCAGGAGGATCATCAAAGAACCAGATGCCCGCTGGGAGACCAGGGAAGAGGGCTCCGTGTGTTTATAGTTAAAGGTCGGCTCTGCATGAAGCTGGGGCTGGACCTGGC